GCCCCCCTCCGGGCCGCTACCCCCAGCCACTAGGCCGGCCTCCGGCTCCATGCGCTCCCCGGTGTAACGCGACTTCGCTCCGGGCAGCGCCTCACGGCGGAGCGTTCCCCCTCCAACTACCGCGCCGCTCCGGTTCCGTCTCCACCCCGTTCCCCTCGGAGCTGAAACTCCGCTCCCACGGCCAGAAGCGCTGTATTAAACCCTGTTTGCTGCCAGGAGGCTATATCTTATCGCCGTCGGTCCCTTCGTAGCCCGTTTTAAAACTGCAAGGTCTTATCTCGCAAGGAAACTAGGGGATTTAAAATAAATACCACGAGCAGGAGGAGGAGGTAGCCTGGAAAGGGGGACTAGACGCTGCCTTGTCTGGTGTGAAGAGCCAGCAGGAGAGGAAGCTGCAGAGGAGAGCTGGTGCTGGGAGAAGGGAAGCGTTAGGAAAACAAGGCAGAGTTTATAACCCCCGCACAGACTGCAGCCCGTCTGGGTTTGTGAAACACAAAGGATTTTCTACTGAAGACAGGGAGCGCCTCAGAAGTACCTCCTATGTGGGTTTCTGTAGAGCACCTCCACGCTCACTTTCCTTTGTTACCCCTCACAGATGCCATGTAGACAGCAAGGGACTGTTAGGAGTCCCCTCACGCCGCAGCTCTGCCACCATTATGGTCAGTGCAGGGCCAGCAGGGAAGTCAGCAAGGCCATCCTGAGAAAGGCAGGCACTGCAGAGCGGTGAGGCAGGAGGAAAACATGCAGAAATTGGGGTAAACGGCTGAGAGGGAGGGCACGAGGGGAAAGCAGCGATGTTCACATCACCAGAAGGCATCCGTGTTAAAGAAGGAAGACTTTAATCTCTGGAGAAGAGAGGGACAAATAATCACGGGGAGAATACGTTGCAGATGCACACAACAAAATCTAGTCTGACTGAAAGTCTCCCTGGAAAGAAAGAGAATTGCTTGGAGAGTAACTATTAAGGAAGAAAAAGAGTAAAAACAGATGCAAAAGCAAAGAAGGTAAATTATTAATGTATGGTATTCAAAGTACAGGTATGATTTGCCGAATGCAAAATGTCCCGGGTCTGTCTTTCCGGAGTTCACCAGCTCCAGCTGTCTTGGCACCTCTTTTGATTGATTTCAAACACTGGCTTAAATCAAGTCAGGGCTATCTCTGATGGCATTTTGAATAGTTTCAAGCTAGTATGCATGCACAAAAAACTACATGCTGCTTTTAACAGATCTAAGGAGCAAACGGTAACATCAGATGAAAGACTGTAAAGCCTTGGCTACTGCGCTGTGCTTGTTCTTGATCAAGCTACACCAAGAAAAATCTGGCAGAGACTGAAAACACCCAGACAGCTACACTGATGAGAGGAAACAAAATTGTGATCTTGAGATGATCAAACTGGCGCAGAGCATAGTGAAAAACAATGTTGTCTTTAATCCATCTTATTATGTAATAATCGTTAAGCCTATAAACAAAGCATAAATAAAAATGAATCTGTACTTACTGAGTATGCACATTGGTGCATGGTTCGTAGCTGCAGGAAGTCATCGTATTGAGACCAATCTTGTTCTTATTCAAGCAATTTTGAGGAGGTTAGCCTGTTTAAAAAGCTTGGTTTTAGCAGACACTTTGATTCTCTCTGCACAAAAGCAAGACTTGATTAAAAAAAAAAAAAACTTCCCAAAACTTTCCATTTCTGAGACTTGCAGGGAAGAGTTGGCATTGGTGGCTTACTTGGCTGCTGGGAAAAGGACTGGACGGATTTGGGACCTCGGAAGAGAAGAAAAAAATGAAAGAAAACAGATGCTTCTAGGTCCACATATATGATGTACTTTATCAGAAAGATGGGTCTTCTGTATTTTCTGCTGATGTGGAAAAGAGAAATTCTAATTAAGAGAGAGCTGCCTCAGAGGGAATTTGTTATCTGCCTAGCCTAGGGAGTAGGCTCCTGCCAGAGAGACGATTCTCACAGCTGCAATGTTTCTGTTTGGTGTGGATGTTTAGCACAGAATAAAGTAAATGGGCTAAATATATTTCTGTGTGACTTAATCTACAAAAATGCTGTTTCTTCCTCCGAGCTAGAATATTTCAACCGTAGGTGATTAATTGTCCTGTCACAGCAGGATTGGGGTCTAGTTTAAAAAAAAAACATAGACTATTATTTTGGCCACTAATAAAGAAGAATTTATGTAGATGTGTGTGTGTATATGTGTGTGTTTGTGTGTCTATACATATATATACATGTGCATATATATTCATTGATGCATAGGTGTATGCATATATCCATATATGCGTACCTAAGCCTATATGCATATACGCACTTGCATCTGTAAGAATTATATAAATTGTAACTGTTGACCTCTTCTTTTCATAGAAATCAGATATTTCCAAACTTTCAACTGTGCTACATGGCCCTGGGACTAAGAAATAAAGCTGAGTGGACTCCTTTCTCTTATGCATGGAGAAACACATCTCATGTTTCAGTCATCTATTGACCTCTCTCCAGGTAAGGACAAATTTTCTTTTGTATACCAACACGATGCAGCCAGCAAAGCAAACTGTGTGGGTGAGAGGATAGCCACTTTGAAGAGGAAATTACTGGTTGTTGGATGCTGCTGGAGACATTGCGTTTGAAGAGATTGTTATGAATCTTATGCTGTTCACAGAACAAAAAGAGGGAAGCAGCCTGAAAAGTGTGGAAGCCACTTCAGATTTCACTGAAGACAGCAGGAGTTATGCAGGCCAAAATGCATGCTTAACCTTCAGCGAACGTACTGACCACAATAATGCGTAACTGGATTGTCCCTTTACACTTTGCTTTGCACGTAGAATAAAGCTATAGCTTTGCCGGCTCTTCCTCCCAGATCTTCCCGTGTTCCTAGGAGGAAATAATCTGTGCTTGGCCCTGAGCCTGAACTAAGTCATCCAGGCTGGTGCTGGGTCATGGGGGTATGGGGGGACCTTGCGTTCCCTCAGCTGAGTAAGGGAGCGCTTGGCATGCAGCCTGTGTTTTTCCACCTGCAACTACAGAGGAGGTATAGCAAAGTGGAGGTTCATATTCCCCCAAGGCTGCTGCACAACCTCCCAAAAGCTAGGTTGTGACACAGCTTGAACGTACATGAGTCAGTAGACTGAAAAAAGCTGGCTGTCAGCCCTCCATGTCAAGTGTAGTTTAGTAGCATTAGTCCCCATCCTCCAAATGTGAGTGGTCCCACGGGCTACAGTGGTATTATTTGTGTGTAGAATAGGTTGGCTCCTGTAAAACCCTAATCATTTCATACAGACTACAAAGCTGTTCCTTCTATTTGGTTAATGAATCCAAGCATAAAAGCAACATGTGGCAAACTAACCATGAAAGAAAAGCCTCATTAATGTATTGTTCTAGATGGACAATTATAAAGGTGTCATGAAGGGCAAACAGGAGGAATATATCCTCGTTAATTGTTTAGGAAGATGCCTGCAAATTGCAGAACTTTCTTGAACTTTAGTGCAGCTGATTTGACCTCTGGAGATTCTTTATTGAAGTTTAATGTTTTCTTAGGATGTTCTTTTTCGTTTTATTTTTGGGGGGAGTCATCTGATCAGGAAATTGAAACAATGTAATTTGGTGTTGGTGATAATTTATGTTCTATAAACAAGGAACAGCAAACAATTCACAGAGTATGGATGTTTACAGAAGATTATTTGTTTGCTAAATGTTTACTCTTATTTGAATCTTGCAAGCACATAGGCAACAACTCCAGGGACTAGCAAGACTCGCTTAAAGTGGGTCTGTTCAGTTTGTAGGGACTACCTACCCACAGGAAAAAACGTATACACAGTGATAGGGCCCTTAGAGTTAATTAGGGATTTGATCTTGAAAAGGGTTTAACATGCTCAAATCCTATTAACTTCTAAGGGAGTTGTGATTACTACGCTCCTTTTAAAATCACGACCCAATAATTTTAATTGCTATAATATGGCTTGATTTATTTTGTTGTTAAACTGTCATCTGTTCCTTAATGTCAATATTTCATGTCCATTCATGGGAACGTTGCTGGGGAGGGTAACTCAATGAAATATGCAGAATATTTCCATCTTCCAGCCGCTTGGATAATTGTGCGCTGCTTCTCCTTCCTGCAGTTTCAGTTGGGTACTGTGTATGAGTCTGCTTCACACGGGCATCCCAAGGATGCTTGTAAAACGTTTTTTGATATAAAAGTACAAAATCAGTTTAATTCCCTAATGGATGGGATGCGTGTGAAATCTTCATGTAAGCAGCCAACTAAAAGATCTCTTTGTGTTAGCTTCAGTACTTGAAGAATAGGGTGTAACAGGGTCTGCAAAAGGTCTCTTTCCAAAACGCGAACTTCGTTACTGAACGCATGTTTTGTTACTTTTACGTTTACCGGGTCCAAACCTTGCAACGCGCTTACGCAGGTGCGTAAAGGCTGCGCTCACCAGCGCCTGCCCTCCCACCTGGCCGGCCGCGGTTGGCGCCGCGCACTCCCCGCCACCG